AGATAAATAAAGAATGTTCAAAAGACTTAAAGTGAAATAAATAAGGCACACGTGTAAAAATTTCCATTTTCAAACTTGAGTAAACGAGGATTGCTAGAGATTTATTATGAAATAAAATATATCATCGCTGTGAGAAAGCAGAGGATAATACATGCTTTGATATATTTTATTTCTATCTTTATATAGCAAACTTGTAAAAATATGGCATTAGTATATTGGTATTTCCAGAAATCAACAATAAATGGTTTACTAAATTATTAATTGTGAAAATCAGGCATTAGGAAAGTGTTGTGTCCACTTGCAATTAGGCCAGGGACGGTGGATTTTTTAAAATATGAATTTAACAAAATTGGGAACATTCCTGATTTTTTCACAGTTGTAAATTGTTGAGTCTAGTCACATTTCTTACTTCCATTGTCAAATTTGCGTCATTAAAAGTCGTTCACTTTTAGTGCCAACTCTTTATTTAGTCCACTAACCACTGAACTACGAGTTATTGGGTCCAGGTCGTCAGTAGTGTTATAACTAATGAGAACTCAATCACAAAACTCGAAATGATCATTATCAGCAGACGTATATACTGCTATACTACTTCCAAAAGCAAAAGACATGGAAATTTTCAACCAGTGTCATGGAATATTGATCTTCCCAATACCTTTAATTCAATTCCATGGAAAAGTTTTTGCACTGATTCCGGGTTATATGATTGCCTGACTACAGTAGTGATTTTCCAGGTGTATCCACCTGGAGTTATATTTAAGACAGGTTGCACAACAAAGCAATTAAAACAGACTACAAATGTACGAAAGACAAAAAACATTCCCATCGCATTTGGAACAAAACATAAAAAAATCGTATAAAGCGAAAGTCTTACATTGCTGAAGTATAGGTGAGGTAATGAGTTGGGGTTAAACAACATTTACCCAAGAATTTTCCTCAAATTGGATAGTGACTATTGACAAATAATTTATATATGTGGATATTCAGAAGATTTTAAACATTCCAGCACAAACTTATTTATAATTTGTGGGTTCAAATTTAATAACTGCTGTAACATACTCGAAATTTGGACATAAATTTGTATAAATAAAAGAATGGCTTTGCCACTCCCTGCCTACCAGGATTTAGTTCAACCATACCTTCTCACTGTAAGATCACTGTGTCACATTCCATACCATATCACACAAATAAGGAAAATTTGAAATAGTTGTGACCATGCTTTTATGATAAAATGAAATATGATAAAAAAATGTACATCAAATTTCATCACAGTCAATGCTTTACAATAATCTACATTAATAAATATTTTGATAATATTAATAGTGTAACAATTTGGAGAAAAAAAATCATTTCTAATGGTTAAGGTAGAGCGGCTGCCTTTGCCTGACTTCATGGCAGAGAGAACCGTACATTTGTATACAATATAAATATACATTGTATATGTTTTGTTTAGTTTTCATCACTAAAACAAGTTCACCTTCTAGGTGTAAACTAGGTTATATAACGTTACACAATGCTTAATGCTGTCTGATAACATGTGAAATATACAATATCAGTAGTGTTATACATTGCTATCCAAGGTATGTTAGAGAAAGTAGGGTAGGTGACAGACGCCCCGATAAAAAATAAACTTTATGTTATTTGCCCGGGAGGATATTTAATACCCCGGTAAAGCTTTATCGGTAAGTATTTGGCAAAGTGACAAGTGCAAAATCAGAGGGAAATACCCGTTTATTTTAGTCCCTATTTTCATGACCTACCTTACGGCTACAGATCAGATATGTAGCAAAACAACAGGTCTGTAAACGTGTTGAAATATTAAGGGTTTTCCGAATGACTCAAGGAAACATTCTAAAAAAGCCATTATTGATATTCTGACCTATATAATTTAATCCTGACACTTTGAGAACAAGCGATGTTATTACAGGAAAACCCGACACTAATAATTAGGTAGATGTTGGAACCGATTTATATTCAACAAACTGGTCAAAAACATTGACTATATGTTAACGATAATGTCGTGAATGACTTCTTGATATCTACATATAAAGTAAAACACAGCTCACTAGCATTAATATCATGACAAAATATTTAACAAATATAACTATGGAAATCAAGTATGCAAAACCATTGTGGATTCAAACCTATCAAACTTATCTGATATATCAAACATATATCAGACACTGGAATAATCATCTACCTACAAATTTATCTTGAAGAAAAGTAGAAAATGCTTATCCTAGTAAAAAAATTCTAGTCATTATTAAGGTAAGCCTCTTCCCATAAATAGTCTAAAATCATTACCCCTTAATCCCTGGTATATTCTGTGGTGTCCTCTCCCCCATGATGGTTACTTTCCGCACAATTATATAGTCTGTGGTTGCCTCTCTCCTCCAAGGGTTGATGGCCTTTTATGGTTACTTGCCCAACGATAAAACAGTCAAAGTTGGACACTTTCTCACACTACAATACCCCACATGCCAACTTTTCCAACACTACAGTACCCCACAATGCCATCTTTTCCAACATACCCTAAAATGCCAACTTTTCCAACATACCCTAAAATGCCAAATTTTCCAGCATACTCTAAAATGCCAACTTTTCCAACACTATAATACCCCACAATGCCAAATTTTATACCGCACAATGCCAATTTTTCCAACACTACAATACCCCACAATGCCAACTTTTCCAACACTGCAATACCCCACAATGCCAGCTTTTCCAACACTGCAATACCCCACAATGCCAACTTTTCCAACACTGCAGTACCCCACAATGCCAACTTTTCCAACACTGCAGTACCCCACAATTATAACTTTGCCTTCACTTTAAAAGCCAACAGTTTTTTTTATTTTCTCCATACTGCAGACCTGAAGTCCAACTCTTCAGACACTGCAAAATCCTAAATTGTAGATGATTCAAACAAAATTGATCGCTTAGATAAAACTGAACTGTAAAACAACAGTTTTAATGTTGCCACAATCTCGTCACCATATTTTTTTTTCTAAAAGTTGTAAAATGACCAATTACATAATTATTTTACGTATTTAAATATCGTACCTTGGTCGTACATACCAGTAATATTTACCTTTGAGTCGATATGTTTCGCATTTTCTGCCGCTGGTTACAGGAGCTCTATCTAATGTTAATTAAATTCATAGATATATATTTTTCAAATAGAAATAATTCATTTATTTGAAAATGCTACTGGATATATTCGAATTGTGCACCTAATTAAGTTTATTATAGTTATTATTGGTGGGATGACTCACCAATTTTTAAACTTAATTATCTTATGTACATTAATGTAATCAATTTAAAATGTTATATAAACGGGCACCTTCCTCGTTGAAATATGAGAAATAGGTTCAGGTTTACGTTAAGACTGCAGGTTTCATACATCTTTAGACATATAGATACGGAACATGACTAAGGAACAGAACATGTCCTACTGTTAGTAGTGAAATTCTCCTAATAATAACAAGCGGAGAGTGGGGATTGTCTTTTTATACTTATCTATAAATAATTTATTTCTTTACTTTGTGTTTCAAGCAATTAAACCTTCTAATAAATAACATTGCTTGCATGTCTTTTTCATGATTACAAACATCTAGTTTGGAATGTTTATGTAACGGGTCGCTACATTGGTAACTTGTTGATTTTTTTTTAAAGCTTAAATCCTATTTCAGTTTTAGATAAACAGAAACAACATTTCGTAATGCCAGATTTAAGCTGTGATAAACAGAAGAAAAAAACCATGACAGATCAGAAAGCAAAAAACATAATTATATACAGTTTATATAAATTGTGTGTCAAATAAATCTGGACACACCCCATACAGATTCACAGAAGTATGCTGAAGTACAGACAAGAAATTTTTGTATTATATAATTATATTAACATTCCGGTTTTCTACGTGTATTTACATGTAATAAAATATCGGGGAAACTCTACACATTCCCAATCTAATAAGAACTTATAGTCCTCATTACTGACCCAGTCAATCTCCATGTTTAAACGGTGAATCTTATTTACATTAACATGTATTGTTTGTTTGGTTAACTGTCCTAATATTTGTGTTTCTGTCTATAAATGTGTGTTTCTCTCTCTCTCTCTCTCTCTCTCTCTCTCTCTCTCTCTCTCTCTCTCTCTCTCTCTCTCTCTCTCTCTATTATCAAAAGATTATATACACCAAAAGAAATATTGCTTCTAAAATCGTGAGACTTTACCAAATCTGACCGAATCCGTTAAATGCAGTGTTGGGTTAGATATAAATCATAGACAATTTCCTGTGCTATCGACCATAGAGATTCAATTGAATAACGATTTATGCAGTTTAAACGCATTTTACAAAATGCGCCAACAAAAATACAAGTCTGATACAGATTTTTCACATTTTTGTAAAGAGTATAAAAACTACGTGTTGTGCTCACTGCATGGTTTAAATATTGAATTCCAATAGAGATCCTGTCTCAGGCAAACAATCATTTGTTTACTGCGTTTTTCACGCCAAGTGTGGTGAATTGCCTTGTCGTATATGACACTGCGCAGAAGACAATACATTTCCATATGCTGCTCGCTTTGACACATGTGTACACATACGTGTTATTGTTGTAATGCTGAATAAGTACAACGTAATAAAAATATATATACAGATTATATTTACAATTATCATAAAATTGACAGGGCAGCGCAGCGTTATATCGATAGGTATTCCTTTATCATGTGTATTGTGTAAAACAATGGCGCATGGTTCTCGGGTAATGAGACAGCAAGACTTTAATCCATGACCTAGATACTGGTTAGAATGAGCACGGATAAACGTCAGTGTGTATTGGCCAATCAGAAACGAGCAGTTCGACTTAGGGAAATTCCCTGCTTCTCCAATATACGATTGAGTGAAGCCTATTCTCACGACACGTGATATATCTGTGTATTTAATAGGTACGTAAGCCATACCTAACCATAACATTGTGTGAGAGGTGAGGAGAGTAGAACTACACAGTCTGAGTATCTAATGTGTATTAGTGTATTGCAGAATTATCATTAGCAAGAAGTTGTGCAACTGCAGCTCTTGACTTGGTAAGTGCAGATCAATTATAATTTTATTTATAAATGTTTTATTTATCAATTCTGTACGTATTAGCAGCTAATAATTTTAAATCTAACTCATGAATGAAAAAAATGTCGGGAAAGTATTTTGTTTATTTAATATCTAATACGTTTTGTATTTCAACGATAGCGTAGTACGCTGAGTTACATACGGTGACATCAGTAGCATTGATGTATCATAGTTTCCATAGTGTCACCATATCATAATGTTCTTGTTCTGCCATTTGTACTATTTGGTTATGACACTTAAAAGTTTATTTAGCTTGATGGATATTTAATATTGTTATAAGTGATACAAGTTCCATAAATGCCTACCATTATCTAAACAAATTGTCGCCTAGTCGGTATAATGTTTGATATCGTAACCATCTTGTCTGCGGGGCTTATGTTTACACCGTATTATGTTAGCATTGCATCGCCTTCTGTAGGATAAGGCTAGACCTACAAGGTACCACTGCAATGTCACACCATCGATCACCCGTGTGATTGACAGCATGGACAACTACCAGTATGCATTTGAATTAATAGGCCCGAGGATGCTCTGTATACGTATCTGGTATACCGAATGAATTTTAAGGGGTGTTGACGAAAGTCTTGACCACTCACATCTCACATTTATAGCCTTAGGACTCATATGGAGTAGATTTCATCGCCTCCTACACACCAGATATAAAACCGCTTTAGCACTTGACCTGTGCATCATTTGACTAAGTGACTTAAGAGTGAAACATCTCCACTCTTACATCTAAGGAAAATTTACCCGTCACTGAGGAGTGAAACTCGTCATGTATGAACAACAGTGCTATTATTATCAATCTGCCGTTAACTATAATTGTAGATACCCGAGGAATACGGTTCAATATTCTTGGATACAGAATCATTTGGTACAGATGGCTGTCTCTTGCCCTACACAAGCTGTAAGTATATCTTTTTTTTATCCTTACATTTTAAAATATTATTTTTAATTATTCATTGCATTATTTTTTAAAGTGTTTTCCAGCTAATATAATTTCGGTAGTTTGTAAGCTAAATTTTTGTATGATTTTTTTTTTCAATAATTTTTTTATTCCTGTTTTAGTTGACGGAATCGTTCACCCCGGAATTTGATATGGATAATATTTCCTTGTATGAACCATGTGACGTTAAATTGGAGAAAGTGTCTGAGTATGTGATGGCTGAATCGGACGTGTCCAGCATCAGCAACAAAACATTTATGGATTTAACGGATTCCTTTGAAGGTTTCAAACAAGGTAAACTATTACATTATAATGATATACACTTACAAAAATGGCGTCCAAATTATAATTAAATCAGGAAAAAATAAACAAAAACAACTGCATGATCTAATAAAGATGAAACGCTTACCTAATTAATGATACATATATTCATATTGAACAAAATCTTATTTGATTTTTTTACTTCAACGACAAATGGACGATTACTTAAGAAACCGTGTTAAATTAAATATATATGCATCATTTACTATGTTAATGAGTTTCTCTTGTTTTCTATATTTAGAATGTGCCTACTCTTTTGAAGACAAGAACATGAAGAGTTGGACAGAGAAACACCCAGAGCACTGGAGTAATAACGAGGTGTTGGACTGGATCTATTTTGTGGCTGCTGAAAATCACCTGGACGTCGCTAGACTTAGAGGAGAGAACTTCCAGACAATTACAGGACAGAAACTTTGTCAAATGTCTCAACAGGATTTTATTGAAAGAGATCCCGAATATGGCTGCTATTACTACCAACTTTTCCGACAAATATTTAATGAAGGTAAATTTCCATTTCAATTTTATATTATACGGAAACAAACCAGCAAAGAAATGTTTACAAAAACATATCCTTTGTGTTTTCATAATATAAACAGGTTTTTGGTGAAAAATATCATTATTTAAGGTGGAAATAATATCTATGTTTAAATCTTCCAGTGTTACTTACAGATATAACTTTTGATTTACAGCCAAATTCACGCCCCCGGCCTCTGTCGACCCGACTTGTAGTGACAGCAGTAGCTTAAATTTCCCCAGGGAAGTGTTTAACTTTCAACAAACCATACCTGATATTGAAGGCGTCAGCGATGCTCAAACGAGTGGTAAGTTTACCTGTGAAATAGTAAGAAAAAATCAATTTCAAGGCATGAGTAATTACACCTGGATTTTCGGGCAATGACAACATTATACCAATACAAAGTAGAGACTTGCAGATTTTACGTTTTATTAGAATTATCAACAAATTCTCAAAAATTAATTTGAATCTTCATATAAGGTTATATTTCAACATTAACAAAGAAATCTATGTTTTTTCAGAGATGCTCGATAACAACCTGGATACCATGCTGGAAATCCAAGACGGTGTCCCTAAAGTAAAGATCGCAGGTGCCTGGTATGACTTTGATGATGATATGGACATCCAAATGGATCGGACAGATCAGGGCTACATTAGTGGAGGTAAGTTTTACACAGGAAATCCACCCCAATAAGAACAATCACTACACACTTTCCTACAGATTTGATATCAAAATTTAGTGTTACTTAGATCTTAGAAATTTTGTGATCACTAATGGATGTATTTGTCTTTCTCAGAGGCGGAAAGTGAATGCGATTCCCGGCTCCCATCTCAGTTGTTCTCTGACGAAGAGGCTGACGTTGTAGTGAAGAAAGAACCAAAGAAGAAAGCACCATCACGTCGATCTCACGGCAGCACGTCTTCCAGTGACGGCGGCTTTGAAAGTGAGGATGGAAAATCCAACCGGGGCAGAAAGCATGGGCAATGTAAGTTTGTCAAGACTGATACATTTTAATATACATTATGATACTTGGAAACAAAACAAGTTTGGAAATCATGGTATTTTTTATCATTTGTTCTTAGATAATATTAATATCAGTTTGATTTCAATTCCTCATCTCTTTCGCAGGCTCGAAAGGAAATCACTTGTGGGAATTTATCCGTGACTTATTGAAGGACCCTCAGCTTAACCCAAGTCTTCTCAAATGGGAGGACAAAGAAGCCGGAGTATTCCGATTCGTCCAATCAGAGGCTGTGGCCCAGATGTGGGGAAGAAAGAAAAGTAACCCCGGGATGACATACGAGAAACTCAGCCGAGCAATGAGGTACGTCCATTTACATTATGTGTTGTATAAAACATGTGTCGATAACTTTTCTATTTCAGTTCTTCCTGTCTTTAAATAGGACAGTATCTTAATGTACGCATGCGCACAAACTGTCTTGTGTTGTGATTTGATATATTAGAAACTATTTACAATAGGCATTATCGGTGAAAGGGTTGATATAGCAAATTATATGTAAGATGTTGGTGAAAGGTTGACAGTATTATGATATGCATGCAATAATTGGTTAAAGTTATATATAGAACTGTGATGTACTGTATTGATAAATGTGATGTCTATTGCCTATAAGCTGTCGAGTTAGCTGGTAGAACCACGTAGTTGCTGAACTGTTTGGTCGCTGGGCATTGTATATTGTAATAACGTGGACGTTATTTTTGTATGACAGGTTTTGCAGATCTGCAGATTATTTTGCTGGTGTACCCAAAAATGGGAAATTCCCGAAGAAATTGTGTTTCCGGTTCGGCCCCAAAGCTTTCGGTTGGAAAGCAGTGTAGACTGGAATCACTTAGGTTAATACCATTCCATATATCTACAATTTTTCCCTGATTCTTTTCCTCCCTACTATTGCGCTTTTTGCCTTAAATATTAACTCTTTTTTGCTTTTCTGTTTTACAGTTTTTGATGTTTGCATTCATAACCATTTAATACTTTACTAACCTTCCTTTCTCGTATTTAACACTCGTTTGAAAATTCTTGTTTTAATTATCGCAACTGATCACTTTCAACTTTCTTCTCTTTAACATTTCAAAGCTCCTCCTTTTTTTTCTTTTAACTCCAGATCTCTCCTTTATCACATTTTAAAAATTCAATGTAACCATAATTACCAAATTAATTTTCCTGTGCAATTTTATAATGCTTTATAAAGAAAAAGTTTGTGCAATAATTTTAATTTTTTTTTTCATTTTTGAAAAAAAATCAATAAAAGATAATTAAATTTTATTTTCATGAATCAATGCAACAATGAAGCGATAATTTAACAACTAAATTCTGCATGATGTGAAGGGAAAATTACTTGCATGATTATTATAGTTTAGAAATAACTTTAGGAAAGAAAAACATTTGCAATAACTTTTTTTAATTAATTATCTGCAGGTATTATTACAAACGAGGCATACTCGATCGAGTTGATGGTCGAAGACTCGTGTACAAGTTCGGATCCAATTCCCATGGTTGGAAGGAGTGAGGTCACTCACGTGGAACTTTCCAATGTACTGCCCATAGTACGGAATCGAACTCAGCGACCAAGTCTGTCAAGAATACTGGCCATCCTAGCGATGGATCTCCACAGGACAGAGCAACTTTCAGGATAACCTTGACATGTTTATCTGGCTGTTCAAAGTTACTCTTGTGAAACAGTATTGAGGACATTCCCGAGGGAAATAATCTCTAACGATGGAACTTTCTATGTAATTCCGGTATAAATTCAAGGCAATCAGTGTGTAAGTTTTATAAGTGCGATTATTATGTCGGAATGGAGAGCTTATCTGTGATATAGATACATTCAACCCATCCTTACGTCATTACTTTCTACAAACCTCGCCAAGGACATCGCCGTTCTGGGGCAAGAAATTCATTTAGCAGAGGAGCTCTTACAAACTTGATACATCAACCGTGATCTTAATAAATATTGTTATTCATATCTAAAACAGCACAAAGACTGTATTATCAAGCTTTATAACAACACACTGGTCTGGTTGAATGTTTGTACTTCTCTTTTGTAAGCGGTGATTCATTCTCATAATATCACATTCATCATACAGCATTGATCTGTTCAAACGTTAAAGCGGAATTCAGAGGACAAAGTCTTTCAATTCTAAGATTTAGTCCCACAAAGGACATAGTACAAGACATAATAGATATAGCGTTTGACCTGTAAAAATGTACTGCAATGTTGTACTTTACGATCACGTTACTTATTTATTAGTAATTTGTTAAATGTTGTTAAAATGTTATACACTATTATATTTTTGTAAGTTTATAGAAATAAATATGAAATACCGAATTTGTTTTCATGTTTTGTCTGTAAATTGGTTCAAATGAACCCATAGACGACTTTACAGATAACGCCCATACCTACTCGGTTTCTGTGACCAAACGGGCACCTGTTTCTCATAACTAATTTAAACTTGTATATGTTTGTTTATTTGATAACATGGATTTCAATGAAAGATTTTAAACCATAAATGACGTAAAAAGAAGTGATAACACATGAAACTACGGGATATAAAATATTCCTCATGACAAACCGATGAAAAAGTTAAATAGAAATATTTCACACAAAACAAAAATTGATATAGTAAATTCTAAATGATAGGTTGTGTTCACGGCACGTGAAATCAGGTGAGGTCATCATTCTGGGAGTGTGTGGCTCGGGGTGATTGGTTAACCACATATACTACCTACAAACTGTGGCACAGGGTACGTTCTGGGGTAACCATGACGACGGGTGGTTCTGGTGATCTCACACCTGGACTTTGACAAAATTGTTCCTGTGTACGTGATGGTTTGTCACGAACCGTTGATAATTCACTTTTTACCTGGAAAGATTTGAATAGCTTATCATCATAAACATGTTTCAGTACATTTTTTTTTATCAAACGTGGAACATTCATGTGATATATGAGTGTTCAATGGTCATGTAACACTCAATGCGGTGTCTAAATGAACAGGCAGACTGGAAATATAGTAAAACGTCTTTGTCGTTTTTATAAGTCATTTAATGATCAGCACCTGTACGTTATAAATATAGTCATATTATTAAAACCTTCATTCCCTGACATTAATTAATTGATTGTAACGTTCAAAATCCGTCATCAATGCTGCAGGAATATTGTATTACAGCTGTAATATTGTCTAGACATTGTAATCAAGCATGTTGTGAAAATATCTAAATAAATAAACGATACAGAAACACAAACACCTCCTCTGATACTGAATACACAAACACCTCCTCTGATACAGAAACACAAACACCTCCTCTGATACAGAAACACAAACACCTCCTCTGATACTGAATACACGAACACCTCCTCTGATACTGAATACACAAACACCTCCTCTGATACTGAATACACAAACACCTCCTCTGATATAGAAACACAAACACCTCCTCTGATACTGAATACACAAACACCTCCTCTGATACTGAATACACAAACACCTCCTCTGATACTGAATACACAAACACCTCCTCTGATACAGAAACACAAACACCTCCTCTGATACTGAATACACAAACACCTCCTCTGATACTGAATACACAAACACCTCCTCTGATACTGAAAACACAAACACCTCCTCTGATACTGAATACACAAACACCTCCTCTAATACTGAATACACAAACACCTCCTCTGATACTGAATACACAAACACCTCCTCTGATATTGAATACACAAACACCTCCTCTGATACTGAATACACAAACACCTCCTCTGATACTGAATACACAAACACCTCCTCTGATACTGAATACACAAACACCTCCTCTGATACTGAATACACAAACACCTCCTCTGATACTGAATACACAAACACCTCCTCTGATACTGAATACACAAACACCTCCTCTGATACTGAAAACACAAACACCTCCTCTGATACTGAATACACAAACACCTCCTCTGATACTGTATACACAAACACCTCCTCTGATATTGAATACACAAACACCTCCTCTGATACTGAATACACAAACACCTCCTCTGATACTGAATACACAAACACCTCCTCTGATACTGAATACACAAACACCTCCTCTGATACTGAATACACAAACACCTCCTCTGATACTGAATACACAAACACCTCCTCTGATACTGAATACACAAACACCTCCTCTGATACTGAAAACACAAACACCTCCTCTGATACTGAATACACAAACACCTCCTCTGATACTGAATACACAAACACCTCCTCTGATACTGAATACACAAACACCTCCTCTGATACTGAATACACAAACACCTCCACTGATACTAAATAAAAAAATAAATAAATAAACGGTACAGAAATTCCAACACCGCTGCTGATAGTACATCCAAATAAAAAACACAAACAATGTTAAAACGTTCCTCTCCTTTCATTTATCTCAGAGACAGCCGATAAACAAGTATTAGAAATACAATATGTAGTTCTAACACTGAATTAAAGGTAGGAATGTGAAGACAAACGAAGATTACAATTTACTATTTTCTGGATAAAAAAAACTTACGTTGTTTACATTATCGAGGATCAAACGATAGTACTAACGCACAACCACGATCTGAGTTATCTCCCCTATATCACTGAAACTGTTGAACATTTCTTTCTTCATTTGTCATGTGTATCATGATATTTCATTCTTCATTTTCTCAAAATGAATTTTATTAAAATGTATTATTTACTTGTGTGTGGTTTGTACAATCTTTAAGTCTTTCATGAGTACAATATTTTAGTTTTGTCAGCGTAATTCTGTCTACTAACGACTTATTATGGAAACCTGACACGAAAGAATGCCGATCAGTTTAGGTGAATTAGAACCAAGAATTATTATTATCATCATTATTACATTCTTGAAGGCCCATGAACACATTAAATGTCATTAGGACCAGCAAACGGTAAAACACACAGCGATCAAAAAGGAAATAACATTAAACAAACCAAAAGGTAAAAGACAAATGTTAAAAATCTCAAATGGGTATATTAACACAAAAGATTAAAATGGTATGTCATAGTCTATTATATAGACCAACATCTTTCAGGTAATGTAGAATTTACAAATCTCAACAGTTTCAAAAAGGGATTTTAGACATGTAATGTTACGTTAAAAGCATTCTCGAGTAGACACAAGGTCATTGCAGTCCAATAAAAAATGTTTAACGGTGAATAGCTCATCACATCCTATGCACCGGGGATTATCTTCGTATTTCATCATATATGAATGAGTAAGGTATATATGACCCATCCGAAGACGGACAAGGACAACTTCGTCTCGATGGCCGTCTTTATAACCTGGAGAACCAAGAACATTGAAATCCTAACTGTTTGGAGTAAAATGGAGAGAATCTGCTTTGATTTGAGTGAGAAGTTGTAACTACAAACCTTTGAATTACAGGAATGTATGACACTGATCTACGATGGAGTAGACACTGTTCAGGACTGAACTGAAACCCGCCCCTCCCACCCCTTAAAAAAAATAACAACAAAAAACCTAAGCGGTACAAAGTTTGAAACAGGTCGTTGATAAAGTGAACAGACAGAGAACTCATAGTAAGACAAAATGTTGGTACATAACAGATCCTTGATGAAGTGACGCTATTCAAGCAGACAGAGAACTTATAGTGGTACAAAATGTTGGTACATAACAGATCCTTGATAAAGTGATGCTATTCAAACAGACAGAGAACTTATAGTGGTACAAAATGTTGGTACATAACAGATCCTTGATAAAGTGATGCTATTCAAACAGACAGAGAACTTACAGTGGTACAAAATGTTGGTACATAACAGATCCTTGATAAAGTGATGCTATTCAAACAGACAGAGAACTTATAGTGGTACAAAATGCTGATACATAACAGATCCTTGATAAAGTGACGCTATTCAAGCAGACAGAGAACTTACAGTGGTACAAAATGTTGGTACATAACAGATCCTTGATAAAGTGACGCTATTCAAGCAGACATAGAACTTATAGTGGTACAAAATGCTGATACATAACAGATCCTTGATAAAGTGATGCTATTCAAACAGACAGAGAACTTATAGTGGTACAAAATGCTGATACATAACAGATCCTTGATAAAGTGATGCTATTCAAACAGACAGAGAACTTACAGTGGTACAAAATGCTGATACATAACAGATCCTTGATAAAGTGACGCTATTCAAGCAGACAGAGAACTTACAGTGGTACAAAATGTTGGTACATAACAGATCCTTGATAAAGTGACGCTATTCAAGCAGACAGAGAACTTACAGTGGTACAAAATGTTGATACATAACAGATCCTTGATAAAGTGACGCTATTCAAAGATACAGAGAAATCTTAGTGGTGGAACATGTGGGCACATAACAGATCGATGATGAGGATACAATAATGGTTCTTGTTTCTCCTATATGTATTATGCTTGTATTCTGTTACAAACGGTAAATTTAAATGAATTGGCTGGCTTCTTTTAAAAAGAAGAATAACTTAAAAAAAATTTGAATAAATCGTAACTCGAAATTAAGCCAAAGATTAGAAGAAATATAAACGGAAATTCCTTGACATTTAATATCAGATTTATGTAATATATTTCGATCAATTATATATAAATATATAAGGTATCCGTGAAACATTTAAGTTCTGTTGTCATCGTACAAATATTGATCGCCTTTATCAGTTTTACAGGACTATCTTCACAATGTATTGCACCTTTGATTTGCGGGATTTCAAATAAAAAATTCAAAATTTGTTCTATTAATTGAATTCTGCTGATTTTTTTTTACAATAAATTTTGATTTATACGTTCCTAAACAAACAATGATAAGAGAGAACGATAGCACGTGCAGGACTGTCTGGCAGCCGACCTGTACTTTGATCTAGATATTTCTAGAAGCTTACATGACATAGACAACGGTATACAACATATATATGACCCAATAAAAATCTTATGAAAAAAGATCTGTCAGCGAATATTTATGTCGTTAAAATAGTTATTAATTTAGTAGGTCTTACATAGTTAAATTATGTTTCTAGAACACAATAAAATGCACCTTTCCTCTTGTTAGACATGCATACAGACAGATTAAGGACGTGTATTTCACAACCCCGTGGTAAATGTAGGCCTATTTCACAGGACACGTGACACCATAACACTCGGGTACTGGTCTTTTCATGATGCATTATTGAGAAATCTGATAAAATAACCTCGTTCTGCAAACAAAAGTCTCACTTAACATATCTATAGGCCATTTATCTCAAATGAAAGTGAAACTTCATCTTGAATCCAAATAGAATTTGCT